CAGGTACTGGTATAGATAGGCTTTGCGACGCAAAGAAATTGGAATTGCTCGTACGTACCAGTTTAACTAAGCTAAAAACTCGTTTCGGGGGCACCTCATTCAGGATTGGCACTTCTCCGCAGGCTGCACAATTTCTCCTTGCGGGCCGCATTCACAGTTTGTACACCCCTGGTCTAAATGAAAGTTGGTAATTGTGCTGATGATATCGTTAACAATATTGGTCATTCCGTTCTCTTAGTAGCATTTACATATTCCATTAACAGCATCTGATTTTGATCAGGTATTGTCACCTCTACATATTTATAAAACGGGATTATTGCCAAACCTTAGGTCGTTGCAAGATGAAGATTCTAATTGTTGGTTTTTTGAAAACTGGGACCAAAAGTATGTGTCAAGCATTGAGAATTCTGGGCTACAATGTATCGGATGCTGGAAGAAACTTTGAGGAGTTATATGGAGACTGGATGAAATTTTTGCAAGGCAAAGGAAACGTTGAAGATTTACGTAAAATGTTTAGAGGTTACGACGCTACAAGTGACACGTTAGCTATAGCGTATTGAAAAGAGTTTCTCAAAGCATTTCCAGACATTAAGGTGAGTGGGGGGGTATATATGAAAATTATTATAACATTGTTATAATGAGGTATTCGTCATGATTTTCTCACTATCAAGTACATGATGGATCATTTATATTTCAGTTGATTCTCACTATACGCAACGATAAATACGAATGTGCGAAGTCATTCATCAACCAATATACCAAGTACAATGAATCGGCATTTTCATTCCCACTTTCCGTCTTATCGTTGAAGGCTAGACGTTGGTGGGACCTGGAAAGAGAATCTAGTGAGTTTTTAGTTACGCAAAATATCTGGATGTCTGGCTGGGTTTACTGGGAGAACATTTCTGCGGGAGCGTATTTTCTGACGTTTAAGAACTGGAGTAGGGATTTTGAATTCCCGGTAGTTTGAAGATCGGTAGTTTAAATTTAAGAAGATTTATTATAAACTAAAAGCATTAAATCACCCCTAAAATTTACAACGGAAACACAGAATGACCAAATTTGTTTTCGAATTATGGGGACAAAATCAGAGAATAATGTTGATAAAAAGTCAGTTCTACAAATACCTTGTTTCCCCAAAAATAAGATAGGGTCTGATTTCAATTTTCTTTCGAGAAATAACACTAGGGCTAATTTTGACAGGACGTCTTTTATTTTCATTTATCAAACGAAAAATAATAAAGTAACGAATTGAAAAGTGTAGGAAAGATTTATTGCTATCGACTAGTTAAAAAAATAAATTCGCGCTATCGACTCGGTCTTACTTTAGGGGAGGGCTTATATTAAAATCATTTTTGAAATTCAAGCTGAGTCTTATTTTCGGGAAAACACGATAGCTCGCAGTTTATAGTTATATAAAACTTTTTTGCGACTCCATATTCGTTATTGTTAGGTGGAAGTCAACGTCGAGTAAAGCTCAAATATAGTTTTTGAAAATTTTTGTATTAGACTTTGAAAAAGGAGCTGCAAATTAACAATAAAATGTGAAAGATATATCTTTTGTAGATGAAGAACCATTCCAGATTTGTTTTTAGGAACTTATCATTCATTATTAATCAAAGATCAAAAATGTGTTATTAGAGCATGGAAAGTGTGCGGCATTTTATTTTTAGAAGTTCTCAGGTCACTAAATAAATTGATTCCAATGGTTTTATTTTATTTCAGTTGCAAAATTCTGCAAACCGCCTTTCGAGATAAAAGGATATGAAATATGTAAAAAAATTTCCATTCTGGACCAAGATCAATATGCAAAATATTACGAAGATCACAATAACGATGTGCTAGAGGTAACTGTGATTTAATTTGCAGAATATAAACGATATCCCTTAATTTGAGATATTGATGCCTCTTGTTCGATGTGTCGCGGACCATAGTGTCCGCGTTTATGTTGTGTGTATGTATCTATTTTTATGTTTATAAACGGTTATGTTGACCCTGGTTTAATTCTGTTTGTCGGATCTGGACTTCGACTACTCACAGTACATGTGAAGAAAAAAACTGTCTTTCAATCTCTCTTATCGGGACGCCGCGCTGGCGGCCGGACGTGTTTTCAGTTCTCTAGTGATGTAATCTGTTATGCTGTTGAAAGTTTGATATTGGAGTTGCCGTTCAATAAACAGCCAATCCGGAACCATTGAATCTTCTGATTCATCTTCAACCGCGGTAGCAACATCTTCTACTGTGACAGATGTTCTACAATTAGTTTTTAACATATTTTTCACAACTATGATATTTTTTGACAGAATGCACCTCGGGACCAATTGCTCATTTTCAATGTTAAAGAAGGCTGGGATCCAGTATGCCGGTTCTTGGGGCACGAATTACCAGATGTGCCGTTTCCACATGAGAATAAGAATGGATCGATAACTGCAAACAGTCTAAAACATGCTTCGTATGTGAAAGAAATGTACACCGAAATGTATATTACTTTCGCATTATTAGCTTTGGTCATTACCATTGTTGCTGCGTATTTGTGGTATTAATTTTCCATTTCTGCTTCCTGTATATATCGTCATCTCTCATATAACTCCTATTAGCATTGATCCTCTATTCCATAGCATATACGGTGTGTATTATGTTGGTTTAAAACATGTGTTAACGAGCAGTGTAGATTTGTTTGCTTGTTGTAGTATGATGATAATATCGTCACGCTAATAACCAAATTACGTATGTCATTTTTAGCAGTATTGAGAAGAACGTAAAAAACTTCCTAATGATATTGTTATGGAATTGAGTCAATAATTTGCCATGGTTCAATTTTTTGGTCGTAGCCGGATTTAAGTTTATTTGTATGACGCAGTTACGTGGCGTCATAATGGCGCACTGTGACTTAGGCAGAAATGTGTCTATGACTTGGGACATACGCAATTTTGCAACTTTACTATATGCACCAGTCCTGAAAACCAAACATTCCAAAAACGAATGTAATTCTCAGTATCTACGATGTCTATTCCCCAAATAGGCTATCTGTTTCAATTGCATTATTTTTAATGAATATCTTAGTTAATTGGGCTATGGAGAGTAATGGGGCGATCTTTCTGTCTTAAACCTATTCAAAAGCAACTGAGATGCATATTAGAAACAATTATTCTGACTGTTGTGTGAATGCTAATTCAGTGGCTTCTCATAAGTCATTTCAGTGTGGAAATAGTAGTATTTGTGTGGATGTCCAGACTGATAATTTTGATCCTGACAGCAACAGCGTGTCACTCGATGATTTTTTGTGCCATTTCTCATCTGTTTCTACTTGAAATGAGTGGATAATGCTTTTTCTTTGTTGAATAATTTCAATTGGGTATTATCATCTGGGAAAGAACGGTATCTTAAATAATTGTGAAAAAAAATTAATTGGCGGGGCCCTTAAACTAGGACTGAACGTGTTAATGAACATATTTTGGTAGAAGAAGGTCATGTAAGCGTGTCGGCTTCTTTCAAAACTGGAAGCGAATGTAATTCACGCGAATATTTTTTTTAAATAAAAACGATTACATCTGTTTGGGTCATTCAAATAGAAGTGAGTTGAAACTTGTGGATGTTTCGTCAACCGTGAGTTCGTGATGAAATAACAATCAAATAAGTTGAACAATTGCAAAATGGATGATAACATTATATACAGCAGTCACATTAATTTGAGAAGACGTCTACAATGAAGGATAACTAGTAAATTACAAAAAATGCGAATTTCTGCAAATGTTAAAATCGTTTTGTTTAAGCCACTTTTATTTTTGCGCGTCCGATGGGTTTTGAATGACCAAGGTCTATTCGAAACACATTTTCACTAACAGATTATGGAGCCCATTTATTCGTTATCATTAACAACTTTGGCATGCTTCACTGAACGATCAGTGACAAACATTACATGTGTATTGTATTTTATTTTCAAATGTCGTTTTGCATGGCCTCAAGAACCAGAAAAAATTCCTGCCCAATTTTATTCCACGACCCCAGAGAAGATATAAATAACACGTAAACATACTGCTTCATTATTTAAGCATTCAGAATACGCACAGAGGACAGCAAGGTTGCCTGTGTGCCACGAATTGTATTTTTTTTAATTTATACGTTATATGTTTATATTATTTCGATGAAAATATCAACTATTCACGATATACGGCATTGCGATAATATCACTATAGAATTAGCTGTCGTGATGGAGTCTTTATATATGTATACAATGAGAAAGCTTCACTTGATCGTGCGCATTGAAGGTATCAATATAATTGACACAATGGAATGCAATCGACGTAAAAAATGAAACAAGTCTGCCATACTTTCAAGCGTGACCTGCAGATAGACAGAACTAATGCAGTTTCGCGGTACAATTAGTGTCTTTTGTATTACGCATTTTCCTATATTATTGAGTCATGAAATTATACATTGTGTTGTATAAAAACGTCTACTTAACCACCAGCCAAAAGAACCTTCTCGGTTTAGCCAAGATGCAAGTAAATGTACGAAGTTTGCTTAAAGCTGTACATATAGTGTGCAGTATATATATCACCGTTTCATTTTCCTAGCCCACGCATTTAAACGTGGCAAGACTGTGATATTGCCTAATATTATGGTATCGTTTATTCAGTTTCTAGCATATAGCACGGCCACAGGACAGGACGCATTATTATGACAGAGAACTTTTTGGAGTCGAATTATATTCGGAAATTAGAAACAGATGTTATATAGTACTTTTTTCGTTTAAGAACTAGGGAAATGAAAATCAGATATTAACAATTCCATCTCTTTGACATAGAAAAATAGAACCTAATATAACACTGGGCAATATTATGGTGCAGTTACTATACGTATTTGACCCAGTCGATTTTACCAGCCATCTGTGACTGGATGATGTCGCACAAAGTGCTGTGATAATAAACAAGAATTTAATAAATTTACTTTCAAATTCGGCCAGATCTATAAAAAGTGAATAAAACCTTGCACTGCCCAGTTTATGTAGATAGGCTGTGGCAATTGAATATTAATATATTTCTGAGTCATGTTTTTGTGGCCAAGCAAATGACTGAATACAGAAAGAGGCAGGATTGACGCTTATAGGTAAGTACCATTTGCGTTCGACGACATACGTCATTGGTGGGCATGAATTAATTCATGCGTATATATATATTTCAACTAAGATTCAGCAGGTGAACTTTGGATGAAAAATAATCATATGTAAAGTAGAATTAAATAAAATGTTTAAATTAATTTAAACACGAGATTGTTGGCAAATACGAGGTGATCGTAACGGCGAGTTGATGGAATGAGATATGACCTTGGTAAAAACAATAAATATTATGACGCAGTGAACAGTAATTCCTTGTAAATGACTTCATTCTAATATACGACAAATATTATAACAACACCGTACACGAATGAATCAATGTGTGGTATCAAGAAATACAATATCTCAGTATAAATGCGAAAATCAGTGTCATAAGCTTGTACATTTGAATAAACAAGTTTATAGATTGAGATGAACCGATAATCATAATTGGCCTAAATAAACTAAGCAAATAATCAAACATACATATGTTTGAGTATATATGATTAAGGTGATCGATTTTCAATATAATTGCTTTTTGTGTATTGTGTACTAACTAAAGGACCAAACTAAAAATATTATAGGCATGACTTTGATCAATTAGGACTTCCTATACAAGCAATAGATATTATTCTGGAAAATGTCAATGCAGCCTAACTAAATCGATATCCACTACGTTTATTAAAAATAAATTTACATTATATACTCGTATATTGTTACTCGTGTTTAGTTTAGGTAGTACGTGATTTGTCTGATTTTAGGATGATACACTTATTATTTATAGCATAAACGTGGAACTAGTCCATCAAAAGGCAATTATACTAATTATAAACATTAAAAGGAGTTCACGTCACCAACACAGACCGAAAAAGAAAAAAATAGAATTTTACGCAACTTTCTAAAATCAATTTCTTTCAATAATTTGTATTACGATAACAAACGTGTGAGGAATTATGTAAAATATTTCCTATCACTGGAAATATACTAAATGAAAATAAGAATACATCATGTCCACCAATCTAAACCATTTCATCTTGGGAAATAAGTGGTGATTTTAATTTTCATGAGCATAGAGCATCAATTATGACAATCGACCATCTAAGGCAATAGAGGTAAGAGCACTTACACCTACGCAGCAATAACCGTTGTTGAAAGAAAACATACCTTATCGTATTTAATTAATAAACCAGCAATTTAGTGGGCTAGAACGAAATAATTGCAATAACAAACTCCTAGCCCCAATATTGAGCTTATCGTACTGAACCAATTCACTGACATGTACTAATAGAGGCTCATGGCCTATAGGCTATACGCTTCCCAGTAAACGCAAAAAGATTTGATCCACACTAACAATGATAGGTGAATTTAGGTTGTATTGCTACATTATTTCAGCAGTATTTTGCAATTTTGTAGATAGAGGTTTTTGTGAAAATTCTTGTTGGTGAAACGGACCTTTTTTTCATTGCCATGTACTCGTAACAGCTACATGCAACTTCTCAGAAAGATGTATAGCCTGAAATAATTGTTTTTGTAATTTGTAATTCAACTTTTCAAAACAGGAGAAAGAACAATATATCCAAATAAAGAGAACGAAATAGAGTCAGAGTTTATGATATTCGACAGTATACTATTCAAATCGTTGATTGATTCATTCAGATTACAAAGTACACAAAGAGTGAAAAAATATGCTCTGGTTTAAGTTTTGAATAAAACTTGGTAAATAGTCGATGACTATCATCAACTGTATCTTGATCACAAACATTTTAAACCAACAGATCTGGTATTGTTGGATGAGAATGTTTGAACTAAGTGTTTTTATTTATCCCAGATACTCTAAAACTTACTAAAGATTGGCTGTGTAAAACAATTTAAATGATGCGTTGGGCAGAGTATATCAAGGATCAACAGTTCAGCGGATAAGAAGACTATACACAGCTATCAAGGTAAAGCAATATTTACGCTAGAAAGTCGAAAGTATGAGGTTGTTTAAAACATAGAAATTCTAGAATCTTATACCGATTTAAACATACAACTTGGACTGTGAAGACAATCGTTTGTGAACATTTTTGACATTCAACTGTGTGATAGACGGTGGTTGTGATCGAGATAGAATAGACCATATCCTGTCGATTTTTATCGAATTCCATTCTTGCGCGTGTCATTTAGCAATAACAAGAAAAGTATGCTCAAATATATGTATACGGAGGTCCAATAATTAACCGCAGTACCGTATGCGGCTCACACGAAATCTGCTGTGATATATGTGATTAATGAAAAGCTTCAATTCAAATTTGCAAATATACCTAGTTCCAGAAAAGTGTCCGATTGGCCTGACGTAATGCTACGTGCTGGTTCAATATTCGTAAAAATATTAAAATTTTCGGAGAGATATCGAGCACCATAAGGCCAGGACGAAAACGATTGGTCTATTAGTTTTCGTGAAAATCGATTTGCAACAAGAACAATTTCGTACACTTAGTGTTAAATGAGGGAGAAACGAATATCAACGCTTTAATGAAGAACAAATAGTGGCACTTCTATCAAATGTGCCCTTTGCATGAGCCACACTTATCATACTCTTTTACGACATTGCAAGAGCCTAAATTGTTTTCAGTGGCAGAAAAAACTCACATCACGATCTGCCTATTCGAACGGAAACCCCATGAGTTCATTTCCACAAAAAGGCTGTATAATGAATGTTATAAAATGTTCCCATATCACGCGTTGTGACATGAATTGGTGAGCATAGTAAAAAGACATAGGGTAGTACAATACGTTTTTAGTTGTATCATATTGTCAAGATATCTAAAAAAAAGTTTTTATAATAAGATAGCTTTTAGTAGGAGTATGATAACCGTAATTCGTGTATAATAATTATGTTCTGCATTTTCATAATTTTACAATTTTGTGTTGAAACCCCGTTTCTACGACTTGGTTTTATAAACAGTCTAGCTTAGAGATAGGACGACATAGCAGCACTGGCAACAGGTTTTCATGTTTATCCTAGTAATGTAGTTAAATATAAACTTCTGCATCGGTGAATAATATCCAGGAATAATATTGACCGACAAATTGACATCGATCAGTTCGGAAAAGAGTATATTTGCAGTTTCTTCATTTGTTTATCTCTTTGAACTGAGGCGCCCCCAAATAGCAACAACATTGAGTTTATTTCGATTGTATTATTATTCAGTGCAACATTAAAAGACAATAATTGTTCTGACTTCTAACATTCTTCAATTCCATATGGCCCTTTTTATCGGACAATACGATAAAAATATATGGATTTTCGGAGCGGCTGTAATACTTTTTTGAACTTGAAAATTTGAATTTGAATATTTTTGAGTATTATTGACAGATATCAATAATATGAAATTTTGTTCAAAACTAATGGAGGTATATTTAAAATTTTAATTGAGGGGCCTTACGGATGAAAGATAACCGATCTCCATAAATAAGATAGATTTTTAAGTAGAGGAGTAAGCATATTAAGACGGAGTCATGGTAAATTAATGAGTTGCATGTAAACAATTCCTGGTCTGTCAGGTACATATATTTCAAGGGTACTTATATAGTACCTCTGAGTCAATTTGATGTTGTTACATTGTGAATTTTTAGATTACGTTAACATACGTAATACAAGTTGGTAAATATGGATATAGCTTATTATGACTTGTTTGGTTTGTCCTATAGTGACGGTGAGTATGGTGACAATTTGTATTTGGGTATTCACTGATCATTGGATCTTGCAGAAATTCAAATATACTAAAATTGTAACTTTAAAATATGAATATTATATTTGTGGACAAATTTACCTACAATACGTAACAGGCTGATAACAAAAACAGAATCCTTAGTTCATCAGTCAAGTATTACAATGATTTTTCTTAGAACTTTGTATGTGGCTTGCTAGTGGAGCGTTATCACCAGTAGGTGAATATTTTGAAGTCCATATTTATTAATTTATATAAAGCCGGAAACATGTTTGGTGATTTTTTATGAATATATTCCTACAGAACTTCCAGTCATATATGAAGAGGATAATTATTCAATTGATTCTCCTAATATCTTTTATTTTGTCGACGAAGAATTTACTAAATCAAAACCACACAATTTGAAAGAAGCAACTCGAGCAACGTTGACTTCAACTGTTGAATTATTGCTAACCAGTGAGTATGACATGTTTGTGCACTTAAATCAAAGATCTGTAGAATTCGGAATACAAGCTATTCTTACAAATAGCATGGAGATATTGAATTTGTCATTCGTTCTATCAATATTTTACTGATATTTCAATTTATGTGAGAGTGAATATAAATTGGCACTTGTTGTGCCACCGAATAAATCGAAGCTACTGTAAAGCTAACTACAAACATCTTTATTGATGAAACAAGACTATAGGCAAGCTGTCCCTCATCCCTATACTGATTTATACAAGTAATACAACCCACAATTGCCATGTTGAATAAATAGACGAAAATGCATTGACTTCATCAAATAAATACTAATTTGCATTAAATTTCTACACATTGGTGTGTGTTGAGCTCATTGCGAAGCGTGAGATTGCTTTATTGATATCTATCTTACAAAAAAAGTAAAAAGTTTTTCACATATTTTTTAATGACTGAGAAAATAACGTAAAATCACCTCAACTTTTTAATCTGAAAGTATAATCTCTACAGCGATGTATAATACGACAATGAGTTTGGAAACATCATCGGGAAATTCAACGCTTTTTGACAATGTTGGTGAGGAACATGGTCCAGATATCATTGTGGTCGTTCTCTTGTTGATCGTATTTATAATCGGAATCATCGGAAATTTTTTGGCAATATTGGTTATCGTTGTGTTGGCGGAATATAAAAAAGTCCTCACTCACTGGTGGGTCAAACACTCAAAAATCAATATGTATTTGCATGCAAACTCGACACTACTTCATTATTATTGGCAAAATATCAGTTCGAGATATCTTTCTAAAAAAATGAATGGAATGGATGAAAAGTTTTTAGATTTGGAAGGATTTTGAAATTTTTTTTATGCTCACTTGTTTTACGACTTTTTGAAGATTTTGTACTCCACGAGCAAACCACTTCGCGCATCCGTCGCAATATTGTAGTTTGAATATTTAGGAAGAATGCTCGATTCACGAACCGTTATTGGATTGGCTTCATGCAAAGAGGAAAATTCGATTGTCATTTTACTGTCGGGAAGCTGCATGCTTTATCCATAAATCAAACGTTCAAATAATGGTTCAAACCATGTGCTACGAAGATCGTACTTTTAGCTTTACTAGATATATCTAACAATGACATATAACTAAAGATTGTTACATCGGAATCAGAAAATTTTGAAACGAAAACACCGTAAAAAATACCAATATATGTTCTGCAGCTTCCACATTAATTTTTATAGGTACGTTCTTCAGCTCGCAATTGCTGACACAATATTTCTTCTGACGATACCATTCCGAGTTGCTCACAATCTGAACACAGACTGGAGATTTCCTAATTGGATATGTAAAGCTACGGAAACGATGTTTTACCTGAATTATTATTCTTCGGTCTCTTTTCTTGTAGTAAGTTTTATTATGTATTTGATGAAGATAGCACAATAGAAATTGGTTTAAATCCTAATAGCCTTCTAAAAGTCTAATGATGATGAAGTATTCATATATTTGGTAATCGTTTTTGGTGTGGTTTGGTTAGTATGGTTTATGTATATCATCTATTTTGCGCTCGCAGTTCACATTTTTTGACTGACATAAGTTATATAAATAGTTTTCATAAAAAGCTTTTTGGATGGTATATCATAAAATGACATCCTTAAAGACATTATTATGTGATGAAAAACGAACAAATGGTTCGGGTTGAACTTTTGTCCTTTTCCGACTCAAATTTAACTCTCTAAAATTGTAACGACCGATCAAATTTGCATTTACTTTAAACACTAATGGAATTATCAATTTTTAACCCAAATACCGGCTGAAATTTCAGTTTTTTTTTTTCGAAAACTTCCAATTTGCAAGTAAAAATTGGCACAGATTCAGATGAATTCCATCTATGACTCTCTCAAGGGTTACATACGGGCCCTGACTTCAAGAATAAAACCTTGCTACTTATCTGATAGCTAAAAACCGATATAATAGCCAGACTCTGACTCCCAGATCACAGCATTAGTCATGTTTATGTCGAGGTCGTGAAACATTTATATCGATAAAACTTATTTGGAAATGACTTAAAAATCTCCATAATATGCATTCCCATAATGAAGCGATAAAATTTTTTTTTTGTCAAACTATATATTTATAATTTTACAGATAATGAGTATTGATCGATACATCGCTATTTGTCATCGATTCTCAGTTAGATTGAACAAGTTACGAACAAAATGTGCAACTCATTTGATAACTTCGACAGTCTGGATATTAAGTATATTAATTTGCATCCCTGTAATGTTATATACAAACCCAACCGGAACACTTCCAAACTGCAGATGCGAGTGAGTGCGATTTAGAGCAACAACTACATTTCCTTTTTTGTACCTCTAAATAGAATACGAATTTTTTACAATTGTTATTTATTAGTATATACTTCTCTTTGGAATTACTTCTTGTGGTGGTAGTGCGTTTGATCGCCGAATAACATTCCGGAATGCCTAATTTTTACTTCAAGTAAAACAGGCTCTAGCATATTTTCCTTCAATCTAATATTTTTATTAACAGAAAAAAGCTTAATCTCGAATGAGGTAGACCCAGAGATGGCATAATTTTGCTAGTTGTGATATAGAAACAACGTGATGTTTATTTATAGACAATTTTGGCCTTATATTCACCATTGAAGTTTGCTCGAAGTATGAAATTTTTGGGTGGTAAGGATGCTCTCGAATATTTTAGGTTCATGGCAGTTGATGCTAATATAGAAGAAGAAATGTGTGCGCGTAGATTTATTCAACAACCTATTGAATTCAAAGAATGTGTTGAAGAACAGAACTTATTGTTCCACAAAGCTTGTTTAACAACACAGGAAGAAATTAAGCACAATCACTCGGCTATGAATTTCACGACACCAAATCCAGCATGTCATTATCGTGATCGACCTCCTTCATTTAGAGCTTTTATTTTCCTCAACTTCATAGTCTTCTTCATCATTCCTGTAATTGTAAGTTATCCTGTTTTGTTTGTTTTCTTGGTATAAAATAGCACTATCATTTTCCTACACACATTTGCGTAACAATGATATGATGTAAATTTATATTTTCCTGCCTTGAATGTACTCTTTATAATCGATTACTGATCTCGGCCAATTCTATTTACTATCCCAGATTCTCAGTAGGCCACTGGTTAGTGTTTATACGATGTCTCTAAAATGTCGTGTTCCACACTTGTCCTCTTTTAACTTTAATTGTATCACTTTGCTACACTTGTCCCACTGTTATGAGTTACAATGGATATTTATTTTGAAACAAATGAATAAAGTTAAACATAGGACGTAGAATTCATGCTATCTTCTGAGTTAGGATAGATTTTTTTTGAAGGCATTTTGAGATACCCTGTTTCTACAAAAATATCTGTCAGAATCAAATGTATAGAAACTTCTCGGGAAGTTGGCTCTGTGAAAAATCGGTCTATGTCGCTCAAAAAAGAATTTTTGTTCAGATAATGTCAGTGTGTTACAGTCTGATTGCGGTTCGTATGAGGACGAGTCGGATTAAAAGTACATATTCAAGTACAAGGAGTAAAGAGTCAATTCCGAATCCTGTTTGTCGACAAAAACGATCAAAATCAATCGTTAGTGTGAGAGATAGCAAAAACCGAAACCGTGTGACTACAATGTGTGTTTCATTGGTTCTTTTGTTTCTTGTTTGTTGGTTTCCGTTTCACGCAGTCCACATGGCAAGAATGAATGGAATTAATGGAGGAACAGTAAGTTCATATGTGCAAAAACCTGCTACATCAAAACTAATAAGCATATAATATAATATTTTAAAAAACAACAAGGTTGCTCAACATAACGAAGCTATAATAGAAAAAGTACGGAATTATTGTATAATGTCCTTCATTACAAAATATACACCGAAAAGGTTCGAATAATATTTCGTATATTATTTATATTTTACATTGAATTATATTTTAAACAAAAAATCTTTGGATAATGAAGGAATTTTTTATACGATTTTTATTTCAGGAACAATATTGCCAGAATTTATTTGACGTGGCTCTGTTGATAGCATACTTTTCTGTTAGTTCTCATTCGGCATTAAATCCGTGTTTGTATAATTTCATTGGAGCAAGAACAAAAAACAGATTGAGGTAATTAATATTATCACTGCTATTCAAAAAATGTATGATGTTTTCTCATATTTGCATTCTATAGTTTTGGAAAGCACGTTATAGAAGATTTTTCATTCAGAGCGTTTTTGCGATGTGGCATTATAGAACATTCCCCGGTGTTTTTTCACCAAGCATGATATGTTAAGTTATATTTCATCTCGTCCTTAATTTTCTTATAATTATTATGTGCACCACAGCATTTGCTAGTATCATTATCACGAATTACTTACTATATAAAACTATTTCTGTAACTAGACCAAGAAAAAGCAAGTATTTTTTCCCTATCTTTTATTAACTGAATGAGCATTGTTTTTCTTCAGTTCTGCTGCATCTTCAGTTAGGAAATCAGTGAGACAGCGATCAACCAGATCAAGATCAAGTTTTTCAGCGTCATGTACTTATCATAACTCGAATCGAACCAGAATGTAAGTTTTGAAAACGGATAAACTCGTTTTTTAATAAATAAAAAACATAAAGGTAAACGCTGAATTTGAGTAATAGTTAAAAAAAATAACTCGTTCGATTCTATTTCCAATTTCATTTTTAAAATTATGTTGTAGTATATCTGCCATCCTTAAGTATTCTGGAATATTATTTTATACGATTTGTTTTACTATATTTATTATATACACGATGCTTCTCGAAAACGTCATAAAATAGCAACATCTCTTTAGAAGCGCAGATACCAACATATGTGACAACAATGGAGGACGTATCGAACAACAAGTTGTGAACGACTTGACGGATTCAAGAAAAGAGTTGCCCGCATCTACAGACATTGCAAACAGCCACGGTTCACAGTCAGTTTAAAACAGCAATAATGCATATTCAAACAGAAAATCTTAAACTTTATTCCATTCACTGCTATTAAACGTATACTCTTTCTTCTTTTTTTAAATCAGAGTGGTTCATAGTGCACCAAAGGGAGAATATTAATTCACGGACGGCTACCATAATCGTACAACAATACAAATATAAATTATCTTGAACAGACACTAAAGATAACAAGACAGCAATGATCAAATGTGTAGATACTAAGTCGTTTAACTACTTCAAAGATCCTAACTTAACCTTGAAATGGCCCTATTTTCGCCCTCGTTTTACATACAACTATTGTTTTTGTTTTATTTAAATATCGGAACAATATTGGAATCAGCGAAGTGTTCAGCAAAACATTCCATAGGTCTAAATATTGTTCAATAATATTCATAATCTATAATTCAAAAATATTAATTGACACTCTTTTGCACTTAAAAATATCTTCGTTCCTTGGTTGATATATATATATATATATATATGTCACTTATTTACTTTAAATATTTTTTCAGAAAGTTTAACTATTCAAATATGATAATTTTCTTTTGAACTTTTTTCTTTATTTTTATTCCACTTCAATGACAAAACTTACTAGAAAATTATTTTATTTATTTCGATACTACTTGGAGAGAGAACTAGGATCAATGTCCTCTCAATTTTGAGTCAGTGAGTTATTCTTCGTAATCTTTAAAACTTAGCAGAATACAATGCATCTCTGGAGAACATTTGGTAGAAATAATTAAATAGGAAATAGTAGTCGTGATTCCCAAATGACTGGGAGCAAAGGGCAAAATATAACTTTATCTGGCGCAATTTGGGTCCTAACGCAATTGTTCATCAATTTTAAAATTGCAAAACCACAGTTCAAAATCAACTTCAAATTATCGTTTCAGTTATATGTCCTCTTGCTTATTTCAAAATGCAAACTACTCTTTTTAAACGAAGCGCTTGTGGCTTCAATTCAAATATGACAACAGTCAATTAAAAGATTCTACAAAATTTTCCGGTAGCTGGGTATATTCGACCGGATTTCTCCATGAATGATGGGTTAAAGTCTGTTGCTACATTAGAAGAAGCAGTTGATTTAATTCTACAGAGTCAAGAAGCTGAGGGCAGCGCGAAATTACATAAATTGATATCTAATAGCCGTGAAGTGCTAGAATCCATACAAGGGGGAGAGAACCACGGATGTTACAACTCTGGATGTCACGGTAGATCCTCCACCAATTAAAAGGAATCTGGGTATTGTGTGCAGGGGTGTGCGAAGTGCGGCCCGCGGAGAAGTGCCAATTTTGAATGGTGTGCGGCCAGCTAAACTAGTTTTTAATTTAGTTTGATCTGGTTCATTTTGCGTTTCAAAGCTTATATTCGAGTCCAATTTATTATCTATGCCTATGACGTTACAACGTCCTAACAGTGAAGCGAACAACGCGATTCACAAAGCTGTCACTTGCCGAGCAGCGAACAATTTGAAGGAAAATGCGGAGCAGACGCTAATGAATTTGTATAAACGGGCAATAGAAGATTAGGCAACTGGAAAGCAGTTTGTAAAAATTTACCGTAATATTAAGAGATACAAAATCTAAATGAGTTTGGGTTTAAGCCTATCAGTTGATTTTGTTTAAATCTAATCTAGAATGATATTGGACAACAAAGTGTTTGAAAATGAATTTTGGCGTGTTATACCGAAAACATCACAACCAAGATACAATTGAGAAAAGTCATGGCTTCAAACATGGCACGTTTCGGTTACATATTTTTTTCTAAAATGGCCATCATATTGAATTGCTGGTGTCGAATCCAGGCATTTTTTTGACTCAGATTCGATTTCGAGTCCACGTCGTTATTACCAAGTCTATAATCAATTCTGTTTTTACTAATTTACGCCTATGTTTTACCCCTAAAAATCTCACTACATACCTTAACTAGTTGAAACTCAAGGTTAGATACGTAACAATATCACTCGTGTGTATTATAATCACTCCTAATAAAAACGACGACAGATATCCAGATAATATCACGCAAATTAAAAACTATTGATAGCTTATAACAATGATGCGCCAGTCGCCTTCAAACTATCTATCCTTTTTGGTATATATACATGTGGTACACAATAAAATATGTGTTAGCGCAATATTTTTGGGTTTTCGATTCGCTTAAATAAATATGAAACATGCGCAGGATCAACTCAAAGGGGGATCTCATCAATACCTGGTTTAAATCGAGTTTATTACGTGCAATCCTTTCTCTAAAAAGGGAGCAATGGAAAGCATGGAGCGTTTTAGAAAGTTTACATGAACTACTAAATTGCAAGCATAATATTGACGACGAGTGGCATCTCTCTACCATTTGCGCACGCGACATAGTAAATTTGAGGCCAGGAATATCTGGAATTATGGGAAAGCATTGTAGTCAAAAGCTTTTTATTTTTTATATTGACATGTAAGAATTTCTAAATATCCGCCCAGAAATGACGCAAGGTGGTGGGCTGGAAATCCAGTTCACAACCAAGGCGCACATTGACCCCCGTTTACGTTTGTTTATGGCCACCAAAAAAATATTATATTTTCAAATTGATTTAAAAGCTATCTGCGGAATCATTAGGGGAAAAAATATGAGCTACGACGGATGCTTGTGAGCGCGCGATGCTATAGTATGGTCAAAAACGTGTTTTTCTACTTTTACATTGTGACGTCACGGACTCGGAGGGTTCGATTCGAGTCCTTGACGTATTACTCGGACTCGTCGAATCTCTGTAATGCCGGACTCGTCCCATCCCTACTATTTTGTGCCTGCAACCATGGTAATAGAAAGCCTATGTTAAATGAAGGTGCGGTCCGCGGTTTCACCCAGTTATTGATTCTTGGCCCGCCTGCAAAAAAGGTTGCACACCCCTAGTGTAGTGTATTGAATCCGACTAGTTTAAAATAGAAATAAAGGATTTATTCTTCACTAAAAGAACGATCCTCACTTCAGCGAGATCCATTTTGAATTTTGATCCTGTTTTTTTTTTAGCGCGAGTGGTATTAGCAGGAAAAATGATTTTACAAGTACTGTGCAAAGAGAAATATGACTGAGATGACCCAGTGCCCAGCTATTTGCGAAGTAGATGGGAAAATGACGAAATGAAATTCTGGAATTGAAACAACTGAAGATTCCTCGCTGGTATTAATATCTAAAGACTCTGGTCGGATTAGGTCAATTGAACTTCGTAGTTTCTCTGATGCTAGTAAAATTGTTTATGGCCAGCGTACTTATTTAGGGCCGACTTATGAAAAGGGTGAGATTCGTTGCAGCTTTGAAGCAAATCACAATATATACCATAAATGCAGCTTTGATCTCGGAAAAAAAGAGTGACCTACTTGTTCGGGGGGGGTATGAGGACATCGTTGTTTTTAATTGGGTGGGCAGCAAGGTAGTGAATAGTACGTGGTTACATAAATAATGAGGCAAAAAAAATCGTGTGTTCGTAGCTAAATGTGTGCAACATATAGTCCGGCAGATAAGGGGGCCTTTTGGGACCAACCTTGTTTTCAGACATAAAGTTTTTTTTATCTGTGATTATTCATCTTGGGTCACTGCCCATCATTTTTACATGGGTGTGGAGTTTGCAGCGTTGAGCAATTTTTTTACGGCTTGATATTTGTATTGGTGTTTTTCGTCAAATCTGTGCACCATAATGACGCACAACCTGAACCCTAACCTGTTACAATACTATGTTTAGGTTGTGCGCCATCTTGGTGCACAAACTACGGAAGCACCAAATTCACTAGGAAATAAAATCAATAACTTTTAGGTATTTGTTGAACCCAGCTTCGGGTCGCGATCTATATATATATAGAAATATTGTTGAAACATACGCGTAAAATAAAGAGTACTATTTCAAAATACCCGCTTTTGTTGCAATTAACAATACATGCCTGCTAATGCAGTCGGCAGTGGTTCAAGTGGATATACCCGGTAGAGAATAGTCAAGAGGCAACCGTGCTTCTCTTGCCAGTTGTTATGCTGTCCCTCGAATTCAGCTACAACGAAAAATTCACGAAAGCGGGTTTTAGATTATATGATTTCATTAATATTCTCGACAATGAATTATATAGGGGTGGTAGAATGCCAAGTTATTCCAACAACATGATCATGTTTTGCAACTTACAACCAATATTTTGGATATATGTAACTTTGTTTGACAGAGCCCCAAGAGATCTAACTACAGATATCAAAAATGTGAGGCCAAAAAAGTTACACTACAACATAGTCAAATGTGCTGTATTTACGATGAATAACAGATTTACCAAAAAGCATTACATAAAAATGGTAAAATAAAGATTTAGCAATATCTACTTAGGACTTGGTGATATGCATCTGTTGATGATTTTATTTGTTTGTTTCGGAAGTTTAATTACAGAATTTATTGTGGTTGTTGGGGAGGTTTTAAGAAAAGGAGAGTAGTAGAGAATCAGAAAAAATACTCCCATGTTTTCTTCATTTGATAACCACGCCACAGAACTTCTCCGATAAAAATACGCAGCAATTGCGGAGGCCGAAATGCCAAAATGGGATTTCATCACATTGCAAACCAATATTAGCAATTTTTAGATATATTCGCGCATTCCCATCTGAACAGCGTGGAAAAGATTATACCTAACTATACACTTGAAAAACTATGTCAGATGAGCGTCGTATTATCGAAGGGCACTCTTCTGAAAAGCCAATTTGATATTAATGGTATTTAGCCATGGAGACATTGATAATGTTAATTATTCATTGAATTATCAACAGCAGTTGTGCTATCAAATGTTAAATTTTACAAACACAGTTAAATAAAACATGAATATCATCTTTTCAACCGAGAGCAGATCTGTTGTATTCCTCGACAGTGCGTTGGAAAACCTGGTACTGGTACTGGTGAGTCTTGAAGATGTTCATATAATAAAAGGCTGATTCACAAAGATAGGTTGGGCCAAACCAGCTTGCAACCATCCAAGCTGCTGTTCATACATCACGGCACTTTCTGTGTCAACTAGAGCCCTAAAGTGTGACAGGCCCTGATTGTCTTTGAAGTGTTGGTCATTTAGCAGTGTTACAATTTTAAGCTCCAACTGTCCCGCATTAAGGCTGGACGGTATGTTAGTCGTTGGGCTGGACGTTGCTCAACATGACCAAGTCCCATTAAAAAAGGTTAAAAGTGTTGGTCATTTAGCAGTGTTACAATTTTAAGCTCCATCTGTCCCGCATTAATGCTGGACGTTGCTCAACAATGCTTGACGTGACCAAGTTCCAATAAAAAAGGTTAGAAATGAACGACACGCATAGCTCCAGCTGACCTAGAGTGTGTGATGTCATAATTGGAATGACACGTGACATTACCATTACCGATTTCACATATAAAAAAGACTGACCAGAGACAATGCATATCAACAAGACATCTAGTGGTAGTTTACTACTTACCGTCGTCCGCACAACTTTTTTGCAGCGGAACGCGGGCAGAGTGGCGTTTTCAGTAAGAAAACCCTGAAGAATCTTCGTAATAATGGAGAACGAGTATGCGGGAAGTGGTAGAGAAGAACGTTAATGGTAGGATATACCGGAAGATCATCACACGAAAAGTATCTGTTCAAAATATCATCAAGGAAAGCCCTAAATGGTGAAGCACTGTACCGGTACCAACGGACCTATGCCAGAAACAGCTTAAGACCAAATTAGCAAGACAACTCCATCAATTCGTTCTCCGTAAAAAGTTTTGCGTCTAAATTAATTTAGTTACCGGTGTTTTTATATCATATAGTTTGCTCATTCGGTATTCATATCCGGATGGACCAAATTACTTTATACGGTATGTTAGAATGTTAACGCAGCTAGTTTACAAATAGGTAATATAGTTGGTTCGCAGATATTCATCATTCTGTTCTAGTGAACCAGAATAACTGTTCAACACGCTGCTGTACAGTTAGTCTGCATGTTCAGTTTTTCTATGAAAAAATCGGGAAACTGAACATCGGATATATTCAGAACAGGTGTGAAGTTTTAAAAGTTGCATTTGTATCCTTTTTGCTGTTCGAAAATGATTAGATTAAGCGTTACTTGGTTAACAAAAATAGCAAAATATAATGACATTGACAAACATTTTAAAATATGTGTACAATAATTGACTGTTGATGCATGTGTATTGTACTGATAAAATGTTTTATAATATATTCCAATGAAAAAAATACAGTTTTTAGTTATGAACCGCAAATTTTGATGCAAATGGGAAAATTGATTCAAGCAGTTATTGACTTTTCTCCAATTTTTGTTTACAGAGACCGCTGTTGATATTTGATCTTCAATATGTCAAAAAAAACAATATGTTCATGTTGTGGCAGTATGCTGTCTTTGTGATTGAGGTATTGCTTGATGCCTTTTTTTGTGCATGCCTCAACATTTATACCGATATATACTACTAGGCCAGCGGTTCCCAACCAAGCGCCTGTAGTTGGAGGGAGTCACCAGTAGGGTATTTCACTGTATGTTCCCTTTGTTGAGAGTGTAGTGTTTGAATATAATGGTATTAGGAATCTACCAGTGAAAATAACACTATAAATACTACTGGAATGATAAACAAGGCCAATTACATTTTATTACTGGCATCGCACAAATTGATAGCCCCTAAAAAAAATTCTGAAAAAAACCAATACACAGCTCAGACAAAAATACAAAATATCACAATTCACCTAATTTTATACTGGAAAACATTTGGTGCTTCTAACCAACTTCTATTGTAGATACGGTATCTGGAAGTGAGCTCAATTTAGTCTTGAAACAAACAACAGTCTTGAAATTTCTTGTTTTTGTTTAGCAGGTGTTCTCATTGGTGATTAAGCTCCCATCAATGGAATGAGATGGTCCACGGTGAATTCAATTGAGGCTCATGCGTTTAACATGTCTTTGCGTCAATTCCTATGTCTAAGAGGGCCAACGAGAATGATCGGATCTGACTGTAGAACTAATCTAGTTGGGTATAGAAATGATCTGAATAAAGCATTGCAAGAAATGGATCAGGAAAGGATAAAAATATATCTTTTTTTCTAAAAATTGCAATTGGATATAATTTAAATTTAATAGTCCAAGTCGTATAGTCACGTAGTATGTAAAAGCAAATCTGAGTTAGATGACAAAAGACTTGGAACATTTTTGAGGCGCTAAAAATGGGGTCAAATCCCGCGTGCATTTAAATTCATACGCAGCATCATGTCACACATAATCAGTGATTTCCCTACACCCCCCCTATAGGGGGTGAACACCCCCCCTAAAATTCTGAACACCCCCCCTAATTTGGAGACGCAACAATCCACTTTAATTTCTAACCTAACATAATTGTTTTGTGTGCGTATAAATGCACGAAAAAAAAATTCATGAATATGGTAAAATAAATATCTGGCAACTATCTAAATATGAATGAAACCATATTGTGACGCCTGAATAAAAACGGGTACGTAATAAATGTAGCTTAAAAGGTGGGTCGTCCGAGATAAAATTACGTTTGCTAGTAGGAAGAGCAAGGTCTACACTACATCTCCTTTATTCTTTATATCGCGATTATTTGAGGATTCAGAAATTATTGATCAAGGTAGACTCACCCTAACGGTATATTCTCTCTTATATTTATTGTTGAGTCCAGTATATATCGAAGTTTAATGGACTCATGACAGTTATGTGTTTCTCGCTTAGCCCTGTCTTTGTCATACATCTACACGGTTTCTTAAATGACCCACAAAACAGATGTTGTAATTTTATTCAGTCGCCTTGAATATTAGGAAATAGCGACATCAATTAGTAAGTTATCAATAGACTATATTAGCGATTACTTTGATACAGTTAATAACAGTGAGATTTTGCAGGATTGATAGTTAAAGATATCTCGTACAGTATTTATAATATGAAAAGGCAGTTGACAATTAGGAGTTTTTTTGACAACCAACCAGAACAGCGTGGAGTGCCAGAGACCGAGGCTGGTAGGAATGAAAGTCAGGCATTTAGATCTGTGGGGCGAAGTGACAAATTGCGATGTACTACAGCAAGCAAATTTCCTTTTATTGAAATTTCAAATGAAGGCTACTGGTGTAGAATATGCAAGGATCTTTATCAAAAAGGTATGCTTCCGCCTTGTTCGTCTTGGCAGGCTGGCGGTGCATGGTTTGCAAGGCCTATAAGCAAGTCGAATTTCGATAGGTTAAGTGAAAAGGCCAATAAACATTCAAACTCGGGGCTGCATAAATATGCTGAGGGTATATTGAATAAAGTGTCGTCACCCATCAACGAAGCATTGGAGCAAGCTGCTGCAAACGCTGCTGACGAAACTGATTCAATGCGGAAAAATATGGCCATTGGCGCTTACTTTCTATTTAGGGAAGAAATCCCGCATACCACAAATTGGAGGCCACTCATGGGTACTTTGTCTTTTATCAGCCCTCAACTTAATCGGTGGTTTAAAACGAGAAATTGCAATGCACATTATCTATCTGCCAGAAACTCCACAGACTGGTTAGAGTCCTGTGGTGCTGTGATAAAATCTGACGTGGCGGAGAAAATCAAACTATCTATATCAAGGTTTAATGAATTTTCCTATATGTCCGACGAGTGCACAGATGTGAATGGAAAGCAAGTACTCAGTCACTGTATCCGATTTCTCGATGATTGTGGGCGGCCTACTGATGCTTTTTTAGATGTTGAAAACATACAGAATACTTCGGCAATATTTATAACGGAATGTATTTTGAAAGAGCTCGATTTGTGGAATCTAGACCCCAAAAAGATGGTATCTTGTTCCTTTGATGGAGCTGCAAATTTTGCTGGAAAGCGAGGAGGTGTTCAAGCCCTTCTCAGACAAAAAATAAATCCGAACTTGATCTTCATTCATTGTCGTGGACATCTTCTTCAATTGGCTTTGGTCAGAGCATCTGTGCTGTCAAAAGACATTTCAAAAGCAATAAGTCTCATGTCTTCGATGCATTCTTTTTTCGACAGAAGTCCGAAACGTTTGAGTACTTTGGAAAATATCCAAATATCGTTAGACCAAAAGAAAAAATTAGTACAACCCTCCTGGACTAGGTGGTTGTCGCACGAAAGGTCATTATCTGTTGTTCTGGGGTCTCTTGAAGCAATACTCATAGCTTTAGAAAGCATCTACCAAGATGGAGGTGATTTTTGTAGCGATGCCGGGGGACTACTTCTCATTTTGCGATGTGAAAAAACTATTGCAGTTCTTTCCTTAGTGTAAAGTGATGTTAAGACACTATCATCCTTAAATAACGCTATTGCAGGGCATCTAGGGACAACAGCGTTGTTGAATTGTGTACAGCTGTTGGAAGCTATCCGTGGACCAGTTTGAAGATATATCTGTCTCTGAAATTCTGAACAACACCGTGTTTTGGTGGAAAGCCTACAAAGAAAGGAAATTTTCATAGAACGTCTGATCGAAGCAGAACAGCTTAAATTTGCAAAAACATCTTTCAGAGTATGTTGACCTGGTGCTCACAAATGTATCTGAGCGACTCCTGAAACCGACAAAACCTCTCCGCGAGTTATACAGAAGCTTAGATAAAAAAGGAAATACAGTAGATTGGAAATCTGCTTTAACTGCAATCGGATTGCCATCGGATGGACCGTTATTGGACAATATTGAAACCGAGTGGAAAATAATGAGGCGTATGCAAAATGAGGACCTAAAATCTACCAACTTTTTATCGTCGTTGGTTGTACGCAGCGCCGGATTAACCATTAAACAATATAAGCACGTGCTTATGGCGAATTTTATATAGTTTATCGATATTTATTAAAATATTACGAGTTCAACAGACGACTCAAACTTCAAAATGTTCGCTTATTTTTTGTCTTCAAGTATCATATTAACCTTCTTTACTAAAAAGAAACACTGAAACTTATTTATTGGACACGAAATGAGCCTATGAGTCGTTTTCTCAAAATGTTGTGGTTTTTGCTTTCTAGGATTTACCTTGTTGCTGCATTTTTATTTTGAAAAAATTTCTATTCTCTTCAACAATTGGACCAATGAACTATTTACACTATGTGGCGGTTCCACGATCGCATTTCAACGATATATTGGTCAGCAAAGTCGGGAGTTTCTTGATAAGGTAGACCAGGGTGGTCCAAACTCTGTCATGCTGATACATACCGTGCGGCTCACAGAACAATTTTAGCGTATATTTGTATCTAATGGAGTAACGTTTTTGAGTTTTTTTTTAGATGGGGTTGGTATCCCGAAATTCCAACCCCTTTTCTAACGCTTTGTGCCTTTATTGGACACGTTAGTGGACATAACGATCGTTTTGGTATTTTTGTTGTTCTTGTTCTTATTTGTCTTCTTCTTGGTATCGTTATGAAAAAATCGCTTTTCTCGTTGATTACTGGACCAATTGCTTTGAAATTTTCAGTGAGTAAAGATTATATTTTCCCCCAGAAGGCTATTACTTTTATTTATTCTTAAATTTTATATGAATCCTATGAGATATGATATTTCATACAAAATTTCGCGGTATTTATTTTTACTCATGGGAACACTGTTTTACACTTATTTCAAGCGGTTTCGCGATCGATTGTCTTGCTCAGTACTACAGCTACTGTAGGTCGGTACTGGTAAGTTGCCATACCGGTACCGTAACGCAGTGAAATTGACTTATTCCTTCCCGGTATTACTAATGCTGCAATGCAAGTTTTATAGCCTATCGTATGCGGAACGGAATATCAGACCTACAGGTTCGGTACCGGTACTGGTAGCTCAGTACGTAAGTACGATACTGGTACTGGTGCCGGTACCGGTGTCTTACCACAATGAAATTACCGTAACTTATTCTTTCACGGTCCTACCAGTGCAGTAATGCAAGCGTTGTAGCACTTGTAGCCTACTATATTTGTTTATTTTGATGAGAGTCTACTGGAAACAACATAAAATTTGAAAGGGAAGAATTGTTCTGTGATCAATTATCTGTCCTAATGTGTAAACAACATAAAATTTGCAAGGGAACAACTGTTCTGTGATCAATTACCGTATATGGCCTACAGTGTACAGGTAAGATGCTCGCTGACTGCTAACCGGTACTGGTAGCTCAGTACGTAAGTACGATACTGGTACTGGTGCCGGTACCGGTGTCTTACCACAATGAAATTACCGTAACTTATTCTTTCACGGTCCTACCAGTGCAGTAATGCAAGCGTTGTAGCACTTGTAGCCTACTATATTTGTTTATTTTGATGAGAGTCTACTGGAAACAACATAAAATTTGAAAGGGAAGAATTGTTCTGTGATCTGTCCTAAAGTGTAAACAACATAAAATTTGCAAGGGAACAACTGTTCTGTGATCAATTACCGTATATGGCCTACAGTGTACAGGTAAGATGCTGGCTGACTGCTAACTCAGTACCGCACCTACGTTAGGTACCGGTACCGCCGTGAATTCAGCTCTCATCTCTTTGTTGGACACGTAGTGGACATAACGATCGTTTCAATATTATGTTGTTGTTCTTGTTCTTTGACACGTTTTTAAAAAGTCGCTTTTCTCTTCGAATACTGGACCAATTGCTTTGAAATTTTCAGTGGTTAAAGATAAAAATTTTCTCCAGAAGGCTATTACTTTTTTTTTCGCTATGACGTCATCAAAATTATGTGACTCTACGTGTCCATATATTTGAGCATAGCTCTCTTGTTTTAGTAAAAACACTCGCGTCGGCCATGTGACAGTAGTGACGAAACGCAGAGCCGACTTAACGCCGCGTAATCCAGTTTTTTTTAGCTAGGTCCCGAAAACCAACGTAGTCTGACTTGGTTGGTATTTGACGATGTCTTATTTTATTTTAAAAAAAGAATTTTCATCGGCCTTACATATCAAAACACTGTCTATAGGTTTGAGTTATGGAATGTAAAGCCATTTGGTTGCGAGGTCGAAACCATATGAAAAGGTAGAAATCGAGCGATTAAAGAATTGTTGCGAGTCTTAAGTAAATATAAAATAAGCCGTGCCAGAATGTCGAAATGAAACGTTTGTTGTTGCAGAAATTCATCAAAATTATAAGATAATCCAAAGAAATTATTTTAAAGTGCATAAGGAAGTGAGAACAGGTACGAAGTTATAAGTCGCACAAGGTATTCCGGGTCAGGGCGTAGATTGAGTTTATCTTGAAAGAATATTGTGAATAAACAGACAAACATATTGGTTTATAAATGATTTTAAGTTAGAGATAGGCTCTGCTGCACATTGTTCGAGTGAATTTGTTATTTAAATCATTTTGTCCACCTTAATGCTTATTACAAATAATTTTATTGTTCGATTCGGAATCGGAGTTTAATTTTTATTTTCAAACCATTTTCAATTTACCCGAATTCAGATTTTTGAGTATTAGTCTATTAAAAGCCATACCTTTTCAAAGATTTGTGTCTTTATGTGTTTTAATGAATAATTAGGATTATGATATACTGGTACACAGCAGGTGAAGTTTAAATATGTTTTGACATATACATATATACTAATTAAATTGTTACTTATGCAGAGTTTATATCTAGAGTACTAACATATGAAAAATACCTAGTCGGTACCTTCAACACTTTACCGTTTATGTCTACCGCCTTTTGAATGTAGCTGAGTAGTGAATAATAATCACCTTATGACTATACCTAACATTAAACTCGACAACGTAGTATATATACAGTATAATAGCAAATAACTTTGAAAAGTTCGCGAATAAAAGAAAATAATATTGTTTTAGAAGATAAAATGTGTTGTAACTTTATATATTTTGATTATTGAAATTCACCTATAATTTAAAAACCACGTAAATGCAAATTATAGAGAAATTCGTGGTTGTATAAAAAAGTGTGTCATCAGTGACCTCTCAGCTCATATTTTTTCGAGATATATCGGTCGAAAGTTAAATTTGATCAAGCATTTATCTGATGCATACAGCATTGAGTGATGGAAGATGTTCATTTATATACCCGTTCTTAGTGGTACTTTAGGACACAGAGAGCAGTTTAGAATTAGGCTGTACATCAATACGTCTAATTACTATAATATGTTAAAATGGAATCTATAACATCTATACAACAACAAACCACCCATGTGGTCTCCAATCGTAATGGTAGTATACATTCAAAAACCGGAAGCTTTAGAAAAAGACGACTTCAAAGACAGAAAATGTCGTTCAAAGAAGAACCGGAATCCGAAAGTCAAAACTTTTCATTCTTTCTGCTATATATAAAGAACGAAACGCAACTGAAAGACATGGATACCAAACGGAATTATATGGCCATGGAAGGTTAGATGTTTCGCAAACAATTTTCTCTTATTCGAATATATCTGGCCTTACTTTGTTTTAACGTCACATCTCAATATCCAAAAACGCCTAAAATTTTTCCTGGTTTAAGTCTAGTATGAATAAGTATGTTTGTTCAAAATTCGAAAGATATTACAGATAATCATCCCTAGTGTCGTCATTAAAATTATTTTGTCATCAATGTAACAATTGTTCATACACTGGTACAAATATCTAAGAAAATATTGATATTCTAAACCTCACCTATATATAAATGAATATGCAACGGGTAATAACGGATGGCCACCATAAAACGGGTCTAAACTAGAGATGTACCGATACCACTTTTGTCACCGATATTTCAGATTGAAAAAAAGATATATCACATAAGAAATTGATGTTTGGTATCCGAATGCATTAACTGATTCGGATGCATTGTACACTGACGCTAGTAATCTCGGTGTCCAATTAGAAAACTCATATGCCGAGATGTCCAATTCCAATTTATTATTAATATCGCGACCTTCGAATATCGTTTTTTGTGTTTAAAAGAATATCGAATATATGCAAATATTTTATTTTGTGTTTAATCGTGATCGTCGCGACAATTACAGCCAAAATTAAAGGATATCAATCAGTGCCGACTAGAAATACCTATACCACGTATGATACTAGGCGGCCACATCAATAAATCTATAAAGAAATTGTGTATTTGAACAAAATTAAAATTACTATAATCACAATATTTAATACCTGTGTAGAGAGATAATTGCGTCGGAATTTAGCCTAACGATGTCCATGGACTGAATGACACTCGCGCTTGACGATAAACAGAATTTATAACTGTGCCAAACAGTGCATGTCCTGTAAAAAGGACTTCGATTCCACTGTATGATTTAAAACTGAGCGCCTAGTTGCTCTCTTTTCTGTGCCGTGTTGATATATTTCTTCATAATTAATATGTAATATGTATTAAAAATGTCAATATAAAAAGTTGGCAGCAAAAAAAAAGTCAAATTAGATGAGCTGGTTCTGCTAGTAAATATTTAAAAACAGGTGAATCATATTCTCGTTACCACTCGCGGGGGTGTAGACATGCATGGCTCATAGTTCCCGATCTGTCTGGACAAAAAAATAAATTAAAAAGTAATATTTTAACTTACCTTTTAAAACATTCTGGATCATATCTAAAAGGTAAATATATCGGAAATATCGGTATTAATTCAGCCGATACCGATACATGACCGATACCGAAAAAATAGCCGATATTGCCGATACCCGATACCGATACATCGACTCTAAACTGGTAGAGGAATCGATTAGGTAATAGATTAGATTTTATAGCACCATACGTACAAGCGAGCAATGTGCTATTTTTGAAAATAAATAAAAGCCACTCTATAATCGGCCCATCGGTATTTGAGAAAAATCAAGATGGATAGATTTCAATCATCGAACTGTTATAATTTCTCTTCAAAAAAACATGAATCATAGACAAAGCGCCCACTGATTAGGTGACTGTATACGGACTCGAATTTGCAAAATACAATGCAATACTAGTTGAAAAGTTTGGATCAATACATGCATTATCACTGAATAACGACAAGTTGAGGGGAAAGGCTATTTACTCTCCATTGTGCCCGAGTTGCGGCTCTTCTTGGTCTTGGTCCATTTTGAGTTTATTTTAACTCGATATTTTGTATTACAAATTAAGCAAATGACTGACTGGAACTTAATGATGAGAGACTTGATATTAAAGTTAATCATGAGCTACAACGTTTTGTTTGGGTACACCTGGTGATAAAAAGTTAAGTTGGCGGGACTAATGCATAGTGGGGTAAATGTAGATTTTATTCAGCGACTAAGAAATTCTCTTGCGACACACATCTTACTACCAAAATGCTTTGAAAAACGTCTGTTAAGTGTCCCACTGTACCCCACTTGTGGGGCACATTCGGACAGACCCTGGGGCACAGTGGGTCAGTCTGTCAAAATTCAACGAAGTGAGCCCTTAAAAATAAGCAATTAATCAGCATAATCGTCTAACGAACAGGGAGACTTCAAATTTGAAGATTTAATATTTTTGAAATCAATGTTCAACTGAAATAGTTCAAATATTTTGACAAAAAAATTCGCAAACAAATTTGAATATTTCCTTCCTCGAATCTAAATCTGGAAATATTATTGAAAAAATGAAAAATATCAGACGGTGGTTTGTCATGTTGGAAAAGCTAAGGTAGAAAAAAAAACTGGAACGGTGAAATTTTAGTTTCAACCTCCCAAAACCAATTTCACCTCATAGCTTGCGCCGCTCTACCCGTCCGTTGTCCGTTCGCGGGGACGTTGTAACTCACCGATGGGCGGATTGAAACATCGAACCGCGGACAGGATTGCGGATATAGTATCAGTGCGAGAGCTGATTTTCCACTGTGCCCCATGTCCCAACGTGCCCCATCTTCCCCTGCAATATTGGTTATATTCACACTCAAATTTATTTATTAGCACATTTGATCTGTTTCTGGAACTAAGCAAAAGCATGTTCCGGCCACGGAAATGGGATGATTAAATGTCCTTCAAACTAAAAAATCTTATTTTCACGGTGACTCACCCCGAATAATAGTAATTTGTAAAATGAAACTTCACAGCACCTATTGGATCAATTGTAAAATTTTTATTATTTAAAAATGGATTTTCTCTTGTATCGACCTCCAACAACAGGTTCTACGGAACGCCAAATATAATCGTAATCGTTAACTACGGTGTTGCATTTGTTTAACGTCTAAAACAAGAACGCGTTCATTCCAATAACGGGTTCGCACGAACCCGCTGAATCGTATCACAAATTTTAATTGCAATTATGTTTTCGGGTTTCCACAAGATATATTGCTTCGAGGTCCCACTTTACAAAACTAGGTTCCAAAATCACAACTGAAAGAATATTATTTTAGATATTTCAATATGCTTTGTATAAATAAAAAAAGCGTAATGCTCATAAAATCAAACAAAAACAACGATAACATGCGCAGCAAGTTTTTGATATTATGACGGTATACAATTGGCACGGATATAATTTAAAGGAAAACTCAGTCACGCCGTGAAAAATTTTGTTTCATTCCTGAAGCTAATTTTATTTTAACTATAATATATGAGTTTACTCATTTCCTCGGACTAAATTAATTCATAACGATGTCAATAACTTTCGAGATAAAAGCTGTCAATGTTCATATATCTCAAGTTTAGTAACGTTTCATGTCAGACATCTTTTTATATAAAATATATTGTTGACATATCATTAAAAGTTGTATATTTATATATGGGTCGTAAAAACAATTCCTCGCATAATTTGATGAAAGATATTACAAGGTCTGGTTCAGATTATAATCAAAGGGGTGAAGAGCCTTTTTTAAGCCAAATAGAACAATGATTGCAAATTAGAGCATTTCTTGAACTATTCACTTAATTGCCGCTGTATGGAGTATCGTTACAACATTTGCGTTGGCGTTCCCAGTACTGTTATTAAGCTTCATGACCAATATCTAGAGTTGTAAATATGACTGGTCTCAAACTTGTTTCGGGATGCGTCATTTTTTTCACCAATGAAGTGTTGAGTCACATTGGCTTAAAACTTCGATGGTTAACAGCAGCAGCAGTTAAGGCAACGTTTTTTAAATAAATCCATTTCTTCAATTTGTTCCTGATTCTTACAGGACTCGATATTTAACCTAGAACTTTGCTGTTTACTTATAGTAAGACACTTTCTAGTTCATTTCCGCACACTTTTCCTCAGTGTTCCTCAAAAATCCCTCATTTCTTGAAAACTTAGCCGACCTTTCGTAAACCAAAAGTCCTGGATAATTAAATAGAATCAAATTCTCGAAAATAAATTTTCCGTGGTAACCTACCTTCAAAATAGATAGTAAATATGGAAAGTATTCTAAACAAAGTTTATCAAACGAACAATAAAATCAATGACCCAAAAGTATTTACGGTAGGTATGTTTCGGATTGTGACATAACGAATCACTGATAATATGTAAAGCATTAATAAGCGTTCCTGCGGCATTGCGACAAATTTTGTTACTTCGTCCGAGGGCTCGACTTTCATTTGATCGCTTTCAACTTATTCCCACTTCCACAATGAAGCGATCGCATAAGACCATACAAAAGTTAAAAACAATGCGTTCCAGGCCTGCCGAAATCTACGTTACTATTCTAAAAGAAACATTCTATCATAGCCTATGTCTGAATATTTATTTGCTACATTGTTCTATAATAAAATGAGTAGATAATTATAAGTCATAAGAACCGTCAGATAATGTAATATTTGCGTCGTTGCATTATTTCGTTGAGAAGTCGGAAGCACTCATAACATCTGAGCATTGAGAATTATTTAGACGTGATGTCACGTTCAAATCAATTAAAGTATTCCCCAATGTCATAAAGGTATTTTGCCGATGGATATGGTGTTGGTGTGTACACTTCGATCCACTGAATCCCTGCGAGATGTTGACTATGTCATTATTAACATTGTATTTTCAAATAAGCTATAGGATCGGCCTAGTAATAAAGTGGTGCCCTGTGTCATAATTTGGGATTATGGCTAAATTAAATGTATTTTGGGGGATCAATAATATTTCATAGTGGTCTGCATGTGAACAAAACCAATTTCAAAACTCAAAATTGTTTGAGTTTAAATTATTAAATTATTAAATTATAGCTTTTCAGGTGGTACGCGTGCAGCTTTCTGTTGTATTCGATATATATGACATCACAATCATGTTATTTATTGACGCTTTTGCAAGAGTTCTTGTTAGAATAGCCAACTCGTCGCCTGTGATTGCTTTGCCAAAGTTTTGGCTAAGTATTTTAAAATGTCGAAGCGAAAGTATAGTGAAAATTATATTGAGTATGGCTTCATTGCTATTGAACATCGAGGAGATATCTTACCTCAGTGCGTGATCTGTATGAAAACCCTTTCAAATGCAGCTTTGAAACCAAGTTTGCTTAAGCGACACCTTGAAACCAATCATACAGATAAGATGAACCGAGATAAGAGTTATTTTGAGCGACTTGGGGAGAACGTGAAGAGACAGCGCATGGATCACACAGGCCAGTTTTACCAAAAGAATGCGGGGATTGTAAAGGCATCCTACGAAGTATCTCTTCTGGTGGCCCAACACAAAAAAGCTCATGTCATTGCAGAGTCTCTTATTTTGCCTGCAGCTAAGATATTAGTCAGAAATTTGATTGGAGAAGAGTCAGCGGCAAAGTTGGATAGTGTATCGCTTTCTAACAATACCGTGAAACGACGCATCGAGGAAATGTCAGTTGATATTACTGACCAGGTGATTGCAGGAGTAAGAAATTCGAAGTTTGGATTTGCCTTACAACTTGATGAATCGACAGATGTCACAAACTGCTGCCAACTGCTTGCCTACGTCCGCTTTATTCAGAACGATACTGTAAAAACGGAATTAATGTTGAATCATGAGCTGTCTACTACATCAAAAGGAAAAGATATTTTCAACTCTTTGGATAATTTTTTCAAGGAAAATGAATTAGATTGGGGAAATCTTGTCGGATGTACCACGGATGGGGCTCCCTCCATGCTCGGCAGAAAACCTGGATTTCAAGCCCTTGTCAAAGCAGTGTCACCTCGCGTCGTAAGTGTTCACTGTTTCATACACAGATTTGCTCTTTGCACAAAAGTTCTTCCTGCAAATTTGTTAATGTGCTTGAACAGGGTCATCAAAATCGTAAATTTTGTTAAAACATCAGCTTTAAATACTCGATTGTTTAAGGTTCTTTGCGAAGATCTCGGCTCTGATCACACTTGTCTCCTTTATCACACAGAAGTACGTTGGCTCTCTCGAGGAAACACAACTAAACGTCTTTTTGAAATGAGGGATGAATTACTTTTATTTTTCCAACAGAAAGCCCATGACTTTCAAAACGACCTGCAGGATGAGAATTTTATTGCGAAGTTGGCTTATTTGTCAGATATATTTGAAACATTCAATCACTTAAATTTGTCATTTCAAGGGAAAAACTGCACAGTCGCAGACTTTGTTTCAAAACTGGGAGCCTTTATCAGAAAGCTGAATTTATGGAGAAAAAATGTGGAAAACAAGCGCTATGGTATGTTTAAATTTCTGTCAGCCCTTGAAATAGAAATCAGTGATGACTTGTCCAGAGAAATTACCCAGCACCTCTCGCTGCTAACTGCTGAATTGCAGCATTACTTTCCAGATACCTCATGCTGCCCATACGTCACAGATCCTTTCTCAGTGGACCCAGCCGACCTACTTGTTGGTACAGGGGAACAGAGGAACTGATAGACATACAGGAGGATCTGGAAGCAAAAAAACAATGCAAAGAATATTCTGCAATAAACTTTTGGCTTAGTATGGCTTCTTCATACCCAACGCTAGCTTCTCACGCTATTCCACAACTACTGATTTTTCCTTCTACTTGGGAATGTGAGCAGGGATTTTCTATTCTTATGAACATCAAATCAAAAAATCGAAACCGACTAAGTGCCCCCGGACATGACTTCAGATGTGCTATTAGCAACGTTATGCCGCGCATCGATCAACTGGCGCAAGACAAACAAAAACAAAAATCCCATTAAATTTAGCCGTGCACTTTTCGTTGTTTATTCTGATTGGTAATTTTGGTACATTCGTTAAATTTACATCCTGATTTATCATGTTATCATAATAAATTGGTTTTGTAAAATTTGTATCAAATTAGCTGTTTCGAAAATAGTGGTACATGTTGACAAATCGTGGTGCCCAAGTGGTACGAGAACGTAAAAAGGTTGGGAACCCCTGGTTTAAATAGACAAAAATACAGATAGAGAGAGCTGATAGAAAATAAAGAAAGTATATTATGCACTGTGTAAAACGATTGGTGACTCAAAGGCAAGTGGGCTCAATAGAGTCCCTGGTGTATCATAGCTAGTAAAAGCAGGAAAAACGGTTTTAATAAATTTATTTGCCACAGGTCTCGTGTCTCAGCGTTCCACTTTTGTTTGATAGAATTCCACTCATCTCTAGTTCCACAGAGAAACAAATTGGTCAGATTGAACGAGAATGAAAAACAACTTTTTTCTCTGAAATATGCAGAAGTCTTCGTTTTTATTCTAAAAAAGTATTTATTATTTATTCCATTTTAAGAGAGCAATGTCCGAAGATGGGTACAAATGTACTATGACTAACAATGACACAGTACCCGTAGCTTACGGTGTCTACAAATGCCGTTTTCTAATTTGTGCCATTTTAGGGCATTTGTCTCACATTACCAAATTCCCACTATTCCAACTGAACTGTTACCATATAGATTATAGAATATATATATATATATATATATATGGAGCAAATGATTACGGTATTCACATGAGGTGACAATCATACAATTGGGACACGAATTATTTTGACGCGTAACTCACCACAAAGTCCGTTATCTAATCATTCAACATTTTCAATTCCAAATAGCAAATCAAGTCTCAACGCGAAGCAATCCACATCGGTGGTATCGATAAGAATATGTAATGAAGTTGCCTTGACTGAGGCTGCTGCTGTTGACCACCCAAATTTTTGACCAATGACCCTCAATGATTTCGCTCTCGATGTCTTTGTTACAGTATATATAAAATAAGTTAAACGAAGTCACACTTTATTGATTAGAAAGATGATGCACTCCGAATAAATTTTTGGACCAATAATATTCATAACCACGGCGATTCATTGATTTGTTCAAAGCGGATTTCTTATATATATTTCCTCTCGTTAATCGGGTACAAGGGGGAGAAAAAGGTCCGGCACTACTTTGACAATGATTTGAACCACACTTTGTGATATCTCTCACCAATTCATGCTACGAATTGTTTTTTTGCAATACATATAAAACTTTTGATATGTCAAGAGTATGTATTTCACACAAATATTTACTTAACTCAATTCAGGATATATATATGAACTTTGAAAGCTTTTATGCCTTTATCACAAATTTTAATAAACTCGTGATGAATTAGCTTTAGTTGAACAAATGAGCAAACATATATATGCTTGAAGTAAAATTAGCATCAGAAATGCAACAGAATTTTCCACGGCGTAACTATAGGTTTTATATCCGTGCCAATTGCATACCGCCATAATAATGAAAAGATGCCGAATTTCGTTTTACTGCATGGTTTCGTTTAATTTTATGAACATTTCTCTTTTCTGGTTATTTATTTCAAAGCATAATAAAACAGTCAAATAATATTCTTCAGTAAGTTTTGAAACGTAGTATCATATAATATGATGGAATGAAGAATGTCGTGATCGATATTCCTTACTGTAACTTTTCTAAAATTTTGATTTCGAAAGTCATTAATTTCAGAGTGATTTTTATTTTCTGAATTATATTCTGCCGTTTTTTTTGCGAAAACCTAAAGCTTTACAACTGTAAAGTACACCTAGAAAATGTGCAGATATATAACAGTACATGGAAGAGAATTGTAAACAAAGCTGTAGAAATCATGTAGTATCTCTGGAAACGTCATTTTCTATCCCGTCTGATATCTATATGGAATGACTTACATCTGACGATATAATTCTGAAAATCTTGCTGGAAGAAGGTTGTATAAACTGCATTATGTTGACATGCAGCCTATTTCTAACAGCGTGCATTACTGTGGTTATAGATGTCCATAGCCATCCAACCTCGTTCATTTATGACAAATGTGGTTTGACACCAAAGAGAATGTAGACTGGTCTCAGGCAAGTATTTATGAACGTATTTGATGTATGAAGTATACATGCTAAACTAATGGAATACTTCAATAAGTAATTATGAGAACACTTGCCCTTCGAAATGGGGTACGGCAATTTTGGGAAACTCTTTAATACCCAATTGCAAATAAGATCAAATTATATTTAACTTTTCTTGATAGATACCTTCTTCAGTCTGATATCTGTCATCTAAATCTCCAGATGGAATGTTTTCGAGAGTAGTCAATTGTCAAGCTATAAAAAATATCACAAATGACTCCAAGTCATTTCGACCCGGCGTACTGGTATCTAAGATTGCACCACAATTTTCAGATTGGTTCAACGTTTCTTTCCTACAAAAACTCTTTGCAATTCCGAGGATTTTTTTCGTTAAATATGTCATCCAAGAAAAGAACTTGGTCTGATGACTATTTGCAGTATGGCTTTACCTGCTCAACTGAACGTGACTCCAATGCGAGAATGGCGTGAGAATTGCCCCTTTTGAATCGAAGCCACGTATCTCTCAATTGGTTACCGAAAAACAGCAGCAGAAGTATCACTAATAAATCTAATGAATAATTGAAGTTTACTGTTTGTTGCAATTTATTCTGCTACAACCAATGGAGCAACCCTTTTTTGTTGGTGGTTGATACTCTCTTGACAAAGCATTTCCTTCAAATTTAACTCGCAAAAACAACCTATGCTCAACAGTAAGGCAACGAATTCATATTTTATCAATTGAAGGCGGTCAAATTTTCTATAAATTTGTACAAAATCGACTTACCCTCAATAAGTTCAGGTTGCGCTTTAGTTCAAATATTTGGGTTCGACAGAAGCTTGCAGCGTAGGGGTTCGGCAGGCTCACAAAGTTAAAGAACCACTGACTTAAGCGGTCCTCGAAAATTCCTTCGTCGTGGAAACTTTGTGGAAACGTTAGGCGCTACGTTCTAAACAATTATACATATAGAATCAATTTCCCAAATACATTTTCTGTAATACCCCGCCTTTGAAATAGAGTGAAAGAGAGATTGATAGAGAGATCCGATAGTAAATAAAGCAAGTATTCCAAACATTGTCTATCAAACAAACAGTGAAATTGGTGAATATTTTTTTGTTATGCGTCTGAATATTTATTTGCTATATCGTTCTATAATAGGATGAGTGGATATAATATGAGTCAAACAATCCAATTTTCGGCCGTGGCATTGAGAAAAATTTAGAGGCGATGTCACATTCAAATCAATCAAAGTATTTCTGACGCCAAGAAGATCTTCCGCTGTTGGATATGGTGTTGGTGTAAACACTCCGATCCATCGAATCCCTGAAAAATTTGAGACTATGTTGTAATTAACGTTGTATTATGAAAATATTACTATAGTGAATATTGGTAAGAACTGATCAAAACTAAGTACACCAAGGTATCCGTTTTGGTATCAAATTTCACACAATTTGGATTTTATTTCATTTTATTAGATTTGACATCTGTTATTTTGTGCGTGTCTGATTGCGCTGGAAACACAATGCTACTATGTTTTTTTGTCTCATTTAACGCATTTGATGTTTCTCGAAACGGGGACTTGAAATATAAGATTTCTACTCATGTTTACTTTCACGCAAAGTAAAAACTAATTTGTTCCCTGCAATTGTTACACTTCAAAATTACCTTCAAATTTATTACAATCAACAGCAAGAATATATGTTAAATAATCTGATGCAAATAAGATCTTTGTGTTGCTATTCACATGAGATTCAACTGTAAGGATAAACACATAAGTAATACAAATGTTTGTGTTACAAGTGGTCACAATAGAAAGTAATGTACAAATATTGAATAAATCAGATCATAAATAGGATTTCCATTAGATTTCTTC